CAACTCTAGATTATTAAATATGCGTTTCTGTGGGCAAGCAGATGGCGACTACTAGATGGCACATGTTCTGTATCAGAAACTACAGCTGATATGGTCTATCCAATGCAATTTTCTGAATCAGCACCCCAAGTAACCAAATCGAATCTAAAGTTGTTCAAAAAACTGATTCGTAACCCTTTTGGTACTAATGTTGGAGCGTGGTCCCTGGTCAAAGCAGTCCCTCATCAAAAAAAGGTTGGGAACCACTGCTTTACAGTATCAGTGAATTTTGTGGATAGGGAAAAAAGGTAACACAGAACCAGTGATGAGAAAATACAGGCAAATCATAAGCCTATGATGATAATGTCTAGGTTCTCTGAAAAAAATTATATGAATTCAGCTATTGACTTGGGCTTGTCTTCTCTTGACTTTCCCTTCTGTTTCCATGTACTTGAAGCTGGGGACAGACTGAAGTGACAGAACTGTGAGCCAAATAATTTGTGTGCTGACACTAAGGACACACACACACACCAGGTACCTTTGTTAAGAGAAAAATGTGAAGAGTCCAAAAAAGCAGCCTGAAGGAAAAGTCTAGAGGGAGGTAAATATTTTTGACACATCCACAGCTAGCATCCTATTCCATATCACCAAAATATATTCAAAACAGAGCCAAAATTACTTATACTTATGAACTGTACTACCGAGATTTTTTTTTAAATCTATACGTGTTTAGAAGAACAAGCAACATGAAGAAAAAATGAGAGGGTGGTTGCTCAAAATGATTTGGGTTTGGATAATGAGTGCTTACTATCTCGCATGGTATCTATATACTCTTCCCCAGATCATTTTAACAAGAAAAGGAGAGCAGAAGGAATAATATGATTTCCAGAAGCTTTTGAAATCATGACATCTAGCAAAGGTTTTCAATTATCCATGCTGGATGCATTTGGGAATACACAGATCATAAAAGAAAAGTGTGTTCTAATGTTTCAAGTGGAATGCTTAGCTTCCTGATGAGCTACAATAAACCAGGGCAATTTAGCCTGAAACCAGCCAAATATATTCAAGCCTGCAACTACTTTAGATATCTAAAGTTCTGATTTAAACTTATGATATGTTCTTCTAAGCATCGTTTAATGAAGTAATGAAATATCACCTCTAAAAGGAAAGGACAGGAAAAGACGGATCTTCTTGTGGACCTAAATCAAGACTGTGCAGAAACACCTATGTAAACGTTAGCTCATATGTAATGTGTATAATGATGCATGACTTCATAAGATTAACTGCAAATAACTATTAGACAGCTGGACAGCCTGCTGTTTTGCAGTATGCATGGAAAGACGGACCATCCACTATGCTATATCTTCAGTTTCAGTAACAGGCTAACAGAAGATTTCCTGCTGACTTGACATCAGCCTGTGATACAGGTGCAAAGGACTTATTTCCTGGCAAGTGTAAGAGGAATTAATCTATAAACCATAAGGACAGCTTCTCCCATTCCATAACAGTTTATGAAATTAATTACAATAGCATGCACATCAACTTTGGGGTATACGACTAGTGCTCCTATCATGAACTAAAGCAGTTGAAACATGTGGGGAGGGGGGCTAGAGAGACTGAGAGAGAGAATGAACCCAAATAGTTCTCTGAAAAGCTAACTGACAAAAAAATGGGTTGAATGGCATAACTGGGAATTGCTTTTTCGTAAATTATTTCTGTCTCTTGAAAGGTCTTATGAAAGAAACCAAAAGATGTCCATGTTAATTAACTGAAAAGCAATGGGAAATATTTTAGTTGGTCTCCCTGGATCTCTCTTTAAAGTGAAGCAGTTTCTCTTTTAACTGCTATAACGATGAAATTGTGTTGCATAGGCTAGCTTGTGGATGGCAAAAATCATTATTACATTTAATGATCTCAACACCCAATTATTTTTTTAAAGGCAGGAAACAGTGTTTTGGCATGTATTTCTTTTGGTTTGGTGTTTTTCTTCATATATTTGAAAAATTAGTCCAGTCCTTCTGCTTTCTCGTGAAGGAGGGAATTGAAGAATGTGAAGATGTAACTGATGTTGTAGTTAGCATTTAGTAAAAATAATGGTTGTCAAACTGTAACTTCCATCATTTGTTACCATCTACTATGCTGGAAGTTCTTATGAGAGTAGAACTCCACAGAAATTTGGAGAACCACAAGTTTGGATCTATCATTTGACACGATAGGAATGTTACAGCTTGCATTTTGGGCTTAGTAGCAACTCTGGGAGCCAAGAGCTTGGTCTAGCACCCACTTAAAATCTCACTTCCATCACAAACTTCTGCTACATGCACAATGGAGGACCTCCTTGCGGCAACACCAGAGGTACTCTAAGTGGCCAGATACTGGTCAAAGGACATTTAATCAACTACCAAGCTTGCAAACTTTGTGTTTTGTCTGCTGTTTGTTTTGTTCTGTTAGAAATGTAATACAATGGTCTGGTTGTCCCTGACACGATAAATAAATAAAATCACAAAGTTGCTATCTCTCAGCTTCACTCCTTCCCTCCCACTCGAGCAATACAGAAATAACAACCTTACAATGGATAGTGTATGTTTAACACTTCCAGCATTTGAAATGACTTAGTAGGGCCCTTCCACACAGCCATATAACTGAATATCAAGGCAGAAAATCCCACAATATCTGCTTTGAACTGGGCTATCTGAGTCCATACTGCCATATATTCCAGTTCAAAGCTGATAATATGGAATTTTATTCAGCTGTGGGCCTTAGTCTTGAGTTGGTAATTTTTAAAGTTTGTAGCTTTCAAATTTTCCTTGGGCTGGAGAAAAGAAAGGGACCATGTAGTAGTAAGTCAAGGAATAAGCATGTAATGAAACCTATGATGGTTGAGATGAGTCCACATCAGGGGTAGGAAACCTTTGCCCTTCCAGATGTTTCAGACTACAATTCCCATATTCATAGAATCACAGAATCATAGAGTTGTGGGCCATCCAGTCCAACCGTTTGCCAAGAAACAGGGAAATTGCATTCAAAGCACCCCCCCCCCCACCACCACCACCACCACCAACAGATGGCCACCATGAACAGATGATCATCCAGACTTTGTTTAAAAGCCTCTATAGAAGGAGCCTCCATTACATTCCGGGGCAGAAAGTTCCATTGCTGAACAACTCTCCTTACAGTCTGGAAGTTCTTCCTACTGTTCAGGTGGAATCTCCTTTCCTGAAATTTGAAGCCATTGTTCTGTGTCCTAGTCTCCAGGTCAGCAGAAAACAAGCTCGCTTCCTCCTCCCTAAGACTTCTCACATATTTATACATTGCTATCATGTCTCTTCGCAGCCTTCTCTTCTGCAGGCTAAACATGCCCAGCTCTTTCTGGTTAGATGTAACATCTTGCATTTATCCTTGATGATTTTGACCCAGATCTCTAATCTGTTAAGGTCATTTTGAATTCTAATTTCATCCCTTGCTTCCCCTCCTAATTTAGTGGAATCTGCAAATTGTATAAATAGGCCCCTTATTTTATCATCCAAATCATTTAAGAGAATATTGAATAGCCCTGGGCACTGGATGTGGAAGAGCCACGAGGGAGCGCTCTTTGGGTTCAACTGAACAACCAGTTATGAATGTCATAATTTTATTGGGTTGTTTGCATGAATATCATGGGGACTCCTGTAGCAGAGTTGCAAACTGCAGTGTCATAGGACACTTCGAGTACAAATCTGCCCAATTTGTGTAACTGGAGTGGAGGAAACTATTTCCCATTTGGGTTGTTGTAGGTTTTTTCGGGTTATATGGCCATGTTCTAGAGGCATTCTCTTCTGATGTTTCACCTGCATCTATGGCAAGCATCCTCAGAGGTAGTGAGGTCTGTTGGAACTAAGAAAAGAGGTTTATATATCTGTGGAATGACCAGGGTGGGACAAAGGACTCTTGTCTGCTGGAGCTAGGTGTGAATGTTTCAACTGACCACCTTGATTAGCATTTGATGGCCTGGCTGTTGTTTGGTGTGGCTCGTTAGTGCCTGGAGCAATCTTTTGTTGAGAGGTGATTTCCCTCAGAAGATTCCAATACTACTTTCAATACTTTAATTTCTGTTCTGCACTAGATTTGATCCCTAGTAGATCCCTGGCAGATCTAAGGGCCTTCTGCACTAGAAGGCCCTTAGATCTGCCACAGAGGTCTTCCTCTCGCTTCTGCCACCGCCACAAGCATAGTCAATGGGGACGAGAGAGAGAGTCTTCAGGGAGGTGGTGGAAGGGTATGACAATAATAATAATAATAATAATAATAATAATAATAATAATAATAATAAATTATTATTATTATTATTATTATTATTATTATTATTATTTGAAAGATAACAAGATTAGTACACAGCAAACAAGGTCACTATGCTGGCTGTTGTATTGGATCACACGTTGGACACATTATTATTATTATTATTATTATTATTATTATTATTATTATTATTATTATTATTGTCCCAGGCTACTTCCAATGCCTTAATTTCTGTTCTGCACTAGATTTGTCATTTTTGTACAAACAAAAGCTGTAAGAAAACCTTACAATGCATATTCTTTTTTAAAAAATCAAAGGTAAATTCATTCTTGATTACAGAAGCATAAAACATTTCACAAAGAACACGCAAAGAACTGTAAAGATGTGAATTCTCCAGTATGTTTCAGGGGCCTTCCATTTTCAAAGAAAAAAAATTGAAACAGAAACAAGATATATGAGGAGAAATGGTTGGCAGTTTTCAGAACCTTCACAATAAAACCTTAAACATCTCTTCTCTCTCTCTTTTTCTTTTCTTCCAGAACTAAATATATACTTCATCTTAAGCATGTGTTTATCTGGTTGCCAGAAGGATAAAGCAGCACTGGAAGATGTCAGTTGTGAATCCATATAGACCTGTAAAGGTAGTTAATGTTTTAAAAGAAAAAGTGTGCCTGGAGTATGTCAGTTAAAGTAGATAAACCTTTCAGCTTGCATGTTTCTTAGCTATGTTTTTCTTGATACCATACCTCACTGGTTTCCTGTCTCGAAGCAAGTCTTCCAGGCTTCTTCCACAGTGTTCAGCAACAACCACTAGTCTCTCTGATGAAAAAAAGAGAGAGACAGATTTAGTATCTCAGTACTCATAAGCATGAAACACTTTCTCTCACACACTGCTTTAAATTAAAACCACATCATACAACACCTTAGATCCGTGAGACAAGGAAGATGTCTACTTACTTGACTTGGACATAAAATCAGATCATTATCTATACACATAATAAAAGTGAAAATATGTAGGTGTATGTGTGGCTGGAGTGTCCCCTTATACAGACAAGCTCCTGCTTCCACAAACAGCTATATCTCCCGGCACTCAGGAGACACCAATGGCATTCCGGTTATAGTGAGTACCATGAACATGCCCAAGAGCCATGCCATTGTCCTCCACCAACACCATACTCCCCACCACCTAAGTAAAGGCTTTCATACGGGGACAATTTCATCCTAGATTTTATGTGTTTCCTCCACCACAGACATCCCAGTGTTTCTTTCTCTCTCCATTGGTGTGGAATTTGCATGACTCGCCCATTCCCTCTCCCTTAACCCTTTCATATTCATTTCTATGGAACACAGCGAACAGAGGAATTGATCAGCAACTGAACATACTAGAGAGGTTTGGGGAGAATTCACCATGATTTATAGTTTTAGGTCCTGGGATGTATAGTTCACCTGCAATCTAAGAGCACTCTGAACTAAACCAACAATGGACCTGGAACTGACTTGGCACACAGAACCCCCATGACCAACCAAAAATACTGGAAGTCTTTGGGGAAAATCCACCTTGATTTGGGGGGAGTTGTAGTTCACCTACCTCCAGAGAGCATTGTGAACCCAAATAATAATGGATCTGGACCAAACTTGGCAGACATACCTGATATGTTGAAATTTGATTACTGGAGGGGTTTGGAGGGAACTGACCTTTCTTTCTAGGGGTTGTAGTTCACCCACAACCAGAGAAACCGTGACCTCCACTGATGATGGACCGGGACCAAGCTTGGCACACAACCAGTAGGTTGACTAACTCAACCTACTGGAGGGGTTTGAGGGGACTGACTCACCATGCAGGGAGTTGTAGTTTACCCTAGAGCCAGAGAGCACACTGAACCCCATCGATGATGCATCTAGAGCAAACTTGCCCAACATAACAAACTTTAAGTACCGTACTGATGGAATTTTTCAGGGTTAACCTGGCATGATGTGAGTTGTAGTTCGCTCACATCCTTATGCTTTTTGTACAATTAAAAAATTGAGTTCTTCAAATAACTCGGGCAACACTGGGTACCCAAGCTAGTAGGTATATAAAATTGGTATATGAATTAAGCATTTACTGATAATATATCAGCATTTACGAGGGTTGCTAAACAGGCCATGAAGTACAACTGAAGCATTTTCTGCAGAGTCCACCATAAACACTACACCTTGTTCCTAACCGATCTGTGCTGCTAATTTTTTCATGACCCTAGAACTGAGCTTAGTGAACAACATTTGGGGCGAGGAGCCATAGTTTAAGAAGCAATGGCACAGAGAAGGTGATTATTTTTTCCTTTCCTATTTTAGAATTTGTAGTACTGCATTTAAAAAACACTAAGACAATCTCAAACACACATTCACAAACTCTTATTTTTCAGCACATTTCTTTGTCGATCTTGCTTTTAAGCTGTGAATTTTAATCTGCATTGCATCAGTGGATTTAACTTATCTATATATATATATAAATGCTCTGTGCATAATGAGTACCTTAAAAACAAAAGAACCAATGAACGAAATCACACCAAATTTGGCAACAAAACGTCTCACAACACAAGGAGCGACCATCATTCAAAAAATTATGATTTTGTCATTTGGGAGTTGTAGTTGAAGGGATTTATAGTTCACTTACAATCAAAAAGCATTCTGAACTCCATCAACAATGGAATTGAACCGAACTTGGCACACAGAACTCTCATGACCAACAGAAAATACTGGAAGGGTTTGGTGGGCACTGACCCTGAGTTTCGGAGTTGTAGTTCACCTACATCCAGAGAGCACTGTGGGCTCAAACAATGATGTGTCTGGACCAAACTTGGCACAAGCACTCAATATGCCCAAATATGAACACAGATGGCGTTTGGGGGAAATTGACATTTGGGAGTTGTAGTCACTGGAATTCACAGTTCACATACAATCAAAGAGCATACTGAACCCCACGAACAACAGAATCAGGGCAAACTTCCCACACAGAACCCCCATGACCCACAGAAAATACCTAAGGCCATCCAATCCAACTCCCTTCATCAGGGCAAGAAAACGTAATCAAAGTCCTCCTGATAAAGAGCCATCCAGCCATCAAGATAGATAGATAGATATGATTCACATACACACAGATATAGTATCATAGATTTGAAAGGGACACCCAAAGAAGGACAATGTTATCTTGCATGTTCCAGGGTGGGCAAACCAGACACTCTCCACATCAACACTGACAAAGAAACAGAAAGAAATACTGTTTAACCACAAGCAGAAAGAAATTACATATATTAGAAACCAACACTTTCTCATTACTTTATTTTCCAGATCAACAGACTGGGCCACAGCAACGCGTGGCAGGGGACAGCTAGTATTTTAATGATTTTGTATCCGGCCTCGAGCCACAGAGAGAGGTGTGTAATAATTTATTATTATTATTATTATTATTATTATTAATTGTGTTTGCTTTTATTGATAGTTTAATTATATTTTTATTATTATGTTAACATATGAGTCTCAGATCAGGGAAAGGGTGGAATATAACTACATTAGGACCTCAGTAATCATGAGTCCGTTGGTTCCAGAACCTCATGCTGATACAAAAATGCAGATGATCAAGTTCAGTATTATTACATGGCAGTTCATTGAAGATTTTTGAAAGATTTTTACTATATATATTTTATTTGCAATGTAATGAATCTGTGAGCACAAAGAGGAATTCTTCTCATTTCCCAGCTATGAAATGCTTTACTATCTTCAGATGTGATGTACTTCATGCTCAAAACAGCAGAATGCTATACTCTGAGAATTATAACCATTTTGCTTTGTTGGTTCAAAACCCCCCAAAGAAACAAGCTCAATGTTTTCTTTTATCTGCTATATCATAACACATTGTGCAGTTGCAAGAATATTGCCATTTTTCATATAACCCTCACTCCTTGAAAATAGATTTACAATGTGAAGCTTATTTGTTGCATTCCACTTTGCCAGACATTATGCTTAGCTATACAGCTAAAGCTGGTTTAACGAAACTCTCCGTGTGTGTGCACACACTCACTCACTCACTTTAAAGTAACAAAACTGATCCCAGGTGTAATAGCCATTTTCTTTCTCTTTTGCAGCTGATGCCAAAATACAAAAGAAGAACAATCATCTTGAATCAGTTTCGAATAGCATATAGAAAACAGGCCAAACCTGACTTCTGATCTGATTTTCTACATAAAAACATAACATTCCTAAGAGACAGGCCACATGTGATATCCAACATCAGAACCAAAGGAAGGGGGAGAGAACGATGTAAACAGAACAAGGAAAGGAAAGTAAGGGGGAAACTGAACACTTGCGAATTAGAAATACACATATCTAAGAATATGGTAGGTAATTATAATAGGTAAGTTGTGTACAGAGGAAAGATTGCTTTTTCCTCTTGACATTAAGTCTAGTCATGTCCGACTCATCTCCATTTCTAAGCTAAAGAGCCAGCGATGTCTGTAGACACCTCCAAGTTCATGTAGCCAGCATGACTGCATGGAGCACTGTTATCTTCCCGCTGGAGCGGTACCTATTGATCTACATTTGCATGTTTTCGAACTGCTAGGTTGGCAGAAGCTGAACCTAACAGCGGAAGCTCACCCCGCTCCCTAAATTCAAACCAGCAACCTTTTGGTCAGCGAGTTCAGCAGCTCAGTGGTTTAACCCACTGCACCACCAGGGACTCCTTTATACAGAACTGATATTTAAAGAAAGAAAGTTTCACAATTTTGACAGATTTAAGACTCTCTTTCAAATCAGTAGAGGGGAGCCTTGAGCTCAAGTTGTTTTGAACTAGAATTCTGATACTCCATGTCCACTATCTGTGCTCACAGGGGTTTCTGGGAGCTGAAGTCCACAATTTCTTGAGAACCAAAGTCTCTATATCTCTTCTCAAGACTGGATGGGAAAACTGTCACCTGCTTGGAAAACCTACATAAGCATCTTTACTGCAACAACTGTAAATTGGTGACTTTCATAACTGAGAAAAGAAAACACATTAACCTCTCTTACAGACAATATAAAAGGTAAAGGTAAACGTTTCCCCTGACATTAAGTCTAGTGACGATTCTGGGGTGGTGGTGTTCATCTCCATTTCTAAGCCGAAGAGCCAGCATTGTCCATAGACACCTCCAGGGTCATGTGGCCAGCATGACTGCATGGAGCGCTGTTACCTTCCCGCAGGAGCGGTATCTATTGATCTACTCAGATTTGCATGTTTTCGAACAGCTAGGTTGGCAGAAGCTGGGCCTAACAGCAGAAGCTCACCCTGCTCCTCGGATTCGAACGGCCAACCTTTTGGTCAGCAAGTTCAGCAGCTCAGCGGTTTAACCTGCTGTGCCACCAGTGGGGCTTACGGATAATATAGGTGATCTATATTCTCATCTACCTTCTACCAGTTTGGCATAAATATTTGAACTAGTCAATGTAAAACTTTGCAAATGGCCAAGAATAACACCTGATATTATACTGTGGTTCAGCATGACACTGCATTATTTCTGAAGGTATGTGGGAATCTGGTTTGGCAAATCACCTGAATGTAATGATCCTAATTGTCAGGAGGATGCTTTGGCCCCATATGATTTGTCTTCCTTGCTGTTTTTCCTTTCTTTTCTCCTATAAAGTCAGATTGAAGCCATACTAAAGACAAATCTGTCCTTGCTTCCCTCTCACTACACACACACACACACACACACACTAAGGGTGTATAGAGAAGAGGGAAAAGGAGATCTACATTCATTGTCCCAATTTCAAAGAAAGTTAATGGAAATTTAAACAAGATACAGCCCCCTGAGGCAGCCTTGGTACTTTTCTCTCTGCAGACTGATCCTCGGTTTATCATCCATGCATCAAATCAAAATCCATAATTATGGCTCCCAAACCTGCTTTGACTCATACATGAGAATATATGGTATATCATTCAGTAATTTGCAGGATTCAATGGGGTACAAGATCTATATCAAGAGATGTAAACTGCAGTTTATATTACATCTTTACCACAATATATAGTTCAATGATAAGTTCCAAAATATAAGAACTGAGGGAGAATTGTTGAGACCGCCTTCTGTGGAGCACATTTCTTTTAAACTCCAAACATCAAAAGGGAGATTTAAGGATTTAAAGGGGGGAAAAAGACATGAATCCATGCAACAAATGGGACAAAAAAAGCCTGTAGGTTTAAAAGAAAACCAAACCGCTCCCCCCTCCTCCCCACTAAAAGAAAGAAAGAAAGAAAAGAAGCAGAAGAAGATGGGCAGTGGGGGTGAGAAAGAAGAAAGAAAGAGTGTGAAAAAGAAAAGGAAACATCCCAAAATTATGAGTGTGATCTGAACTACGGGAGACCCAAAGCAATCTAGCAACACTCTACATTTGTGTCTGTTATGTGTAACAATAGAGAGACAAGACTGAAGAATGCTACAACGGAGTCAGTCTGGAGAAAAGCAAACTGCTGTTAGCCTTTGAAGTCTATAATGTCCCGAAACATATGTATAGAATAATAGCTGTAACACGCTTAAATGTACACCCAATGGTAGGGGGAAGGGGGAGAGCAGCGAGGAGAAAGAGACAAGTCTCACCGTGTTTTCCTCGAGAAATGTCCACATACTGGCACAGTCTGGGGTGTGTAATTGTCTTCAGAATCTGAAAGCGCCCCAGGATCTTTATGGAGTTTGGTGTCAAAGGCAATCCATTGCTCCCACAAACATCATTGGGAAGAGCTGAAGCAAAGAAGGTGAAAGCCCCGAGTTCTGCATCTTTTAATGGAAACATCTCCGCATTTGGTGAGATCAGACCTCGGGTATAGTGCCCTTAAAAGAGAAACAAAAATACTGAAAAAGCTGTAGATCAGTCAGCGGGGTACCTATAAAACACGTTGTTTACCTATACATTTACCTATAAGGCTAGTCTAGGAAAAACAAGATATTAACACTGGTTATGATAGAGCAACAAAAGAGCTTTTCATTAGTTGACACACTGAAGTACAAGTAACAATCTAAACCTTTTTTTGACCAGGAACCACTCTCCAACACTAGTACCAAAAGAGTTATGAATCAGTTTTTGGTCAAGTTTAGATTCAGTTTGGTTACTTGGAGTGCTGATTCAGAAAACTGCATTGGATAGACTACATCAGCTCTAGTTTCTGATAACAGAACATATGTCATCCAGTAGTCACCATCTGCTCACCCACAGAAAAACATATTTAATAAGCCTTTATGTGCATACATTGCTAAAGTACGGCTCTAAATGACTTCTTTTTCATTTTATAATTTTTAAGTGTCCAAGTGAGCAAGAGGTGAGATAAAGATCAACAAACAACAGGTTGACCACATGTCCTATTTTACACTGGTCAGTCACCTTTTGAAAGGTTAGCGAGTTTAAAAGTAAAGGACAATGGGGAGAAAGAGCAGAAGTAATTCGAGTAAAAACATCATAAAAATACATCAACTGACACCAAACAACCAGTAACCAGGAAATGGTGGGCAATCTTCTATCTATAAAAGCAACATCTCCTAGAAATCTACATTGAAGGGATTTCTAGAGCACATCCAGATGTTAGGATTTCTGGGAGTTGAAGGTCAAAACATCTGGGGACCCACAGGCTGAGAACCACTTAGACCATTGATCCACCCAGCTGCATGCTAGGAACACCATCTGGCTGTGGCTCTCCAAGGTTTCATGTAGAAGTCATTTACAGTATGCCATTATGGCAAAAAAAGACATAGTAAGCATAGCAACTGAAGCAACAAGGTGCTTTGTAGCTCTTGAAAATCAATGTCTGCTAACTTCTTTTTGGTAATTGATTTAGTCACATCTAGATCCATAGTTAAGAGATAGGAGATGCCTTCCAAGGAAATTTTACACACCACTTCTTTCATCAAATGGAAGAAATCTGACAATGTGCACACTAGGTAGTTGTAATTCGGCGTAAGACAACAGTAGGGCCAGAAGTTGATAGAATAAGTCCATGACAGACATCTTAGTACAAAATGTAACAGAACCAACCAGGTAGAAGTCAACAGTGTAGTGACATGTTTTGAAACCAAACTGTTTTTCACCCAGAATTGCATGGGGCAAGAGTTATGTGCTCCCTGTATGCTGCTCTAGTGAGAAACGTGGTTGCTGCCCGTTGGACCATTTGAAGCTTCCGAACCATTTTCAAAGACAATCCCATGCAGAGCATGTTGAAGTAATCTATTCTCGATGTATCAAGAGCACGGGCCACCATGGCCAAGTCTGACTTCTCAAGGAACGGGTGCAACTGGCACACATGTTTAAATTGTGTGAAAGCCCCCCTGGCCACTGCTGAAACCTGGGGTTCCAGGCTCAGCAATGAGTCCAAAATCACTCCCAAGTTGTGAACCTGGGCCGTCAGGGGGAGTGTAACCCCAACCAGCACTGGCTGTAACACAATAGCCTTGTGACTGACTAGAAGTACCTCTGTCTTGTCTGGATTCAATTTGAATATGTTTGCTCTCATACAGACCATCACAGCTGCCAAACACTGATACAGAATCTGAATAGCCTTCTTAGTAGAAGGTGGAAAGGTAATAATATAATAATAATATTTATTTATTTATTTGATCAGTCATATGACCATTTCAAAATAGAATACGAGTAAAAAACAAGGCAACAAGGTGAAGACAGCAGCCAGCCTTCTATCAAACTGCATTAATTCCACAGTGAAGATGCACCCTTTGTGTATAAAGTGTCTATGAACCAGGCTATGGCACAGCTAGTTAGTAGCCAGCTGAATTAAATCACTAGTACTGACCAAGAGGTCATGAATTCAAAGCCAACCCGGGTCAGAGTAAGCTCCCAACCATGAATAGTCTAGCTTGCTGTCGACCTATGCAGCCTGAAAGACAGTTGCATCTGTCAAGCAGGAAATTTAGGTACCGCTTTATGTAGGGAGGCTAATTTAACTAATTTACAATACCATAAAAACCGTCCAGCAGTGTGTGTAAGAATGAGGAAGTACTCCATCTAAGGACCTGGTGTCACAAGTGGACGGTGAAGTGGCAGCTCCTTTTGTGGCTGGAATCAAGCATACCCTCATGATGCTGGAAACGCTGGAATGTTAAATTGTCTCTGTGTCTGTCTATATATGTTGTATGTCTAAATGGCATTGAATGTTTGCCATTTATGTGTGCATTATAAACTGCCCTGTGTTCCCTGTAGGGCGAGAAGGGCGGAATATACATACTGTAATTAAATAAATAAGTAAGTAAATAAGAAACACACATAAAATTAGTGCTTAGGCTTGGGTCCCTTCTCCAAGATGCGCAAATATTCCAAAATTCAAAATCCAAAACATTAATATTGGGAGTATTTTAATATTCTACATCAGGCACAGGTAAACAGAATAATGGCCTGCCTCAGGGGAGCGTGCTTGCCCTATCCATGTTCAGCATTTACACAAATGACCAGCCACTGCCAGAAGGGACAGAGAGTTTCATCTATGCTGATGATCGTGCCATTACCGCAGGGAACTTTGAGATAGTTGAACAGAAGCTCTCCGAAGCTCTAGGTGCTCTTACTGCCTATTACAGGGGAAACCAGCTGATCCCTAATCCATCTAAAACACAGACATGTGCTTTTCAACTTAAGAACAGACAAGCATCCCAAGCTCTGAGGATTACCTGGGAAGGAATCCCACTGGAGCATTGCAGCACACCCAAATACCTGGGAGTTACCCTGGACCGTGCTCTGACCTACAAGAAACACTGCCTGAATATCAAGCAAAAAGTGGGTGCTAGAAATAATATCAGATGAAAGGTGACTGGCAGGACCTGGGGATCACAACCAGATACAGTGAAGACATCTTCCCTTGTGCTTTTCTCCTCTGCTGCTGAGTATGCATGCCCAGTGTGGAACACATCTCACCACGCTAAAACAGTGGATGTGGCTCTTAATGAGACATGCTGTATTATCACAGGGTGTCTGCACCGGACACCACTGGAGAAATTACACAGTTTAGCCGGTATTGCACCACCTGACATCCTCCAGGAAGTAGCAATCAATAGTGAAAGGACCAAGGCAGTAACATCTCCGGCCCACCCCCTGCTGGGGTATCAGCCAGCATGTCAACGCTTAAATCAAGAAATAGTTTTCTAAGATCTACAGAGACACTCACTGGAACACCTCAGCAAGCTAGAGTTCAAAAGTGGCAGGCTCAAACCCAGAACCTCAATCAATGGCTGATACCAAATGAGAGATTCCCTCCTGGACACACAGAAAACTGGGCGACTTGGAAGGCGCTGAACAGACTGCACTCCGGCACCACGAGATACACAGTCAACTTTAAGAAATGGGGCTACAAAGTGGAGTCCACGACAAGCGAGTGTGGAGAAGAGCAAACCACAGACCACCTACTGCAGTGATTCTCAACCTATGGGTCCCCTGATGTTTTGTCCTTCAACCCTCAGAAATCCTAACTGCTGGTAAATTGGCTGGGATTTCTGGGAGTTGTAGGCCAAAACATCTGGAGACCCACAGGTTGAGAAGCACTGACCTACTGCAATGCAACCTGAGCCCTGACACATGCACAATGGAGGACCTTCTTGCAGCAACACCAGAGGCACTCCAAGTGGCCAGCTACTGGTCAAAGGACATTTAATAGAATACCAAACCTGCAAGCTTTGTTTGTATGTTTGTATGCCATTCAGCAGTGGAACTCTCTGCCCTGGAGCGTAGTGAAGGCTCCTTCTTTGGAAGCTTTCAAACAGAGGCTGGACGGCCATCTGTCAGGGGTGATTTGAATGCAATATTCTTGCTTCTTGGCAGGGGGTTGGACTGGATGGCCCATGAGGTCTCTTCCAACTCTTCAATTCTATGATTCTAATGCAGTGGTTCTCAACCTTCCTAATGTAGTGACCCCTTAATACAATCCCTCATGTTGTGGTGACCCCCAACCATAATATTGTTTTCGTTGCTACTTCATAACAGTCATTTTGCTACTGTTATAAATCATAATGTAAATATCTGATATGCAGGATGCATTTTCATTCACTGGACCAAACTGGGCACAAATACCCAATACACCCAAATGTGAATGTTAGTGGGGTTGGGGGAGGACTTTTGATTTTTGTAATTTGGGAGTTGTAGTTGCTGGGATTTATAGTTCACTTATAATCAAAGAGCATTCTGAACACCACCGGCGATGGATTTGAACCAAAGTTGGCTCCCATGACCAATGGAAAACACGGGAAGGGTTTGATGAGTTTAGGAGTTGTA